ATACGAGTATAAACTACTACTCCACGCAATAACACCTTAAGAGCATAAACTATGTGGACTCCAGCTACGTATAAGTATAAACTGTGTTTACACCATGGCAGAAGCCAACATCCTGCTATACACCAACAGTTATGCTAAGATTTGGTTCAGATGGTTCTATTCTAAAAGTTACCCCTAGGAGTTCAGTTGCAATTCAGCTACGAGCTCTTGACAAAGATGATCAGTTCAACATCAATTCAATGACACGAGCTAATTCAAATATCAACACACCAACTTCAGTTCCAGATTTCGACAATGGTCTGCAACGTCGCAGTGCCAGAAGTATTTCAGACTACTTGATAAAATACTGAGTAAGTTGAAAGCTGAATACGTTATAGAACTAAAGCCAATCACAGGTCCTTCTACACATTCTCATTGATAAAATACTGAAGAGATTAAAAGCAGGGCCTATCTTGTCAAAAGTATTTCAGACTCCTCGATAAAATACTAAGGAGGCTGGAAACTTTGGAGGGGGTATCTGTATGCGTCAAAAATTATCTATAGGTTCCAAACACAGCTCAAGATGAAGAGAAGATGAAGAATGTCATCATCTGAGTTAGACAGATCATCTGAGGCTAAAAAGAAGCAAAGGAGAACACAAAACAACGCAGAAAAAAGACCCGGAGCTGTCTCATAGTTGGTGAGACAGTCTCCACTATCTCGTGTATCCAAGACAGTGTAGACTGTCTCGGATACGCGACACAGAGACAGATGCCCAGGGATTCTGACAGTTTTGTGACTTTTTGTGGGGTCCACACGGCTCTTTAACTTCTTGGGAATATCCAAAAATGTGGATAGGTCATTACAAACTAAAAATTCGCCCACAATCCTCGAAAATAGCGACATTTAACAAAATGGGCGGTTGTTACAAACTAACTAGAACCGCCTCCTTTGCCCGAGACAGTAAACACTGTCTCGCCCAAAGGAGTTGTTGGTTACAAGTTGTTTCAACTTCTTATCCTTGATAACGGTTTGCAGAGGCTATAAATACCCCCCGACACACTTGTGCACGGGGAGGAGAATAACCAAGCATTGACAGAGCATAATCTAGGTGGAGAGACACAAGTTTTAGCGAACTTTGATCATAAAGAAATGGTTCAACATTTTCAAGCATCCTCAAGAGTCTTTGGTGTTTCCTCAAGTTCAAACTTAGATTTGTTCTTAAGAAGAGTGTTTATCTTACCTCGCTAAGATATTCGCTTTGTTCTTGTTTCCATGTTGAAACATCAACATTAACCTTCTTCAGATCTAACTTGGATCGTGAATGGGTGGTCCACGGATTAACGCACACCCGGACAGGCAAAGACCCCGCGTAAGCAGAGACTAATAAATAGCTTATGTGTGTGTTTCTAGGGAGCACCTCTTGTTGTTTTCTCTGTAAAGAGAAGTTTTACAAGTGTAAGGCTCACTCTTTTGTATCCATCAAATCAATTGTAATGGATTCTGCAATGAAACTTGTTTCCGACACAAACACTCATGAGGTTTAGCAGGTGGAGCCGTCTGCATCTCGATGGCTTCCACCGAACCTAAAGTCAGCGTTGCCGCCCTCGCTTCGTCCTCAGCTGAAGGAGGCATAGAGGAGATACCAACCACCCTCAAGACCGTGTTGTCGAGTAAGACTTCCATCTTGTGAGAACTCGTGTACACCTTGATCTTTTCCAGTGCATGTCTCTCGGTGCATGATATTGGCCCCGCCTTCATAGCCTCTCTAGAGATCTCAAGCTAGTTAGAGCAGCCCAAGTTGGAGTCGTCTCATAAGACACATACGAACCTCTCCTTACAGTCCTTGTTCAACTTAGGAGGGTCGGCAATTATCTTGTATCCCCAGCACCTAAAGATGAAAATGAGCCTCACACTGATGCTCCTTGATAGTAACAAGGTTGCCAAGCAAATTTAAGGTTGGTTCGACTCCCAACCAGTAACAGATGACAACGAACCCTACCACGGTAGCAATCGAATTCAGCTTTATCTACATCGGTGATACCCCCAAGGCCTTAAAAACATGACGGAGGAAAGGATGCAGGGCAGGTGTAAACCATATTCTAAATGCTTCACGTAAACCATATTCTGAATGCTTCACGTACATCGGAGCCTGACTTGCATTGTGGTCAAAAACCGCCTGTGACTTCGTTGGCGCCGTCAAGGTGAAAGCTGGAGGAATGTCGAACTTCTTGTATAGCGCCCTCAGCTACGACAATGTCACCTTGGAGTGAAAGTTCTCTAACTAGCCTTGTCAAGCTCTAACAGCGTAAGCCGCGATCAGAACTGTTTCAGAAATTGCCGGATAAGATGAATGATCAGAATTTTTCCTCGATTTGGTTTAGAAATCTTCTAAAGCAATAATCTCCATCTTATTGCAGCAACCATATATGTAGGCGCAGAAATTAAAAATTGTCTGAATCCTAATGGCCGACTCCTCCCCCAACCAACTATGGAGATCAATCCCTAAATTTGAAGCAGCCACTCCAGAATTGAGGCGCCCCTTGCCTTAATTAGCCCATAATCAGACAAAGGGTGAGGCGCGGCAGCCAAATATTGTACTCTAATGTCAGAAACATCCCATCTGAAAAGACTTTTCAATCACCCCCCATTAATGTGCCTCATGACTCGACAAACCGCAGTCTAATTTCACTCGGACCTGGCCTACACCGAATCCAAGTAAAAAGGCCAACTGTTATTACCCACAAATCGCCCAGGAATAATCACTCCTAGGAAAGCCGATATGCGCCCATCTCGCACTTAATCAAACGTGTCCCAAATCGAGGCGACTCAAGCTATGCCCACGGCCGACTCGATAGGCCGACAACTTGCGTAACTGGTCACAAGGCGGTACTTGTAGGTTGACCCAGATTAGCTCTACAAGCAACCTGCACTCTGCCCGCTATATCAGCCAACAACTTGCGTAACCAACTAAAATGCGGTGTATGTCGGCCATCAGCCGAACGGTTGAAGAGGTGGTAGTTTTCTCGGACCCCGCACCGATAGTCGTCTGCCCTCACATTAAATGCTCTAACAAAGTCATTATGGCTCATCAATCCCCAAAAGTCTTTGCATTAACCACCTGAATGACCATATTCGCCAGTGGCCGCCACTTGTCATCACACAGATGACTCATACGACCACGCCCGGCACCTGTCAGTTGTCTGTCGATTCAGTTGCATGTCTGGACTTGGCCACAGTTTCATATTTACTCCTCTCAATTGGGTATAAATATGGGCTCATCGCCTACTAACAAAGGGGAACCTGAATCCCCCAGGAGGGCCGCATGTATGCAATTTCTGCACATTTAGAACTATTATCAGTTCATTGGTATCTTCTCCATTTAAGCTCAAATACTTACTTGATCGTTAGAGGAACCACTAGAGAACCCAACTTCGGTCTTCTAACGAGTGTTATTGCAGCTTGTTATGCAGACAAGGGACTGAACTTCAAGAGAGATGAGGGAACCTACATCACATGCTCCCTCGCTTAACTCAGGATTACCCATTAATCTCATTCCTGTTTGATAGCTGACATCAATGAGTGTACTTCGCTTAGAATGGTTTTATAGCATATCTTATATGATTTTCTCAAGTGGCCACATTATTCATCGTACCACTTTTTTAGCTAATATTTCTTCTATAAGCAAATACCATGAGCACCATAAAAGAAAAGAAAAGAGGTAGAAAATAAATGCATCATTTTCCCATAGCTGGTCTCATAATTTCGGGTTTAAAAGATGGAACAATTCTGAGGAGACATCTGGATCATGGATAATGACTTCTATTGCATATATATTTCTAGTTAAATCTACATGAGTAAGAAAAGTAATTAATTATAGGAATAATACCAATTCAACAATACATGCTAGATTCCTTGCCAGATTCCCTTCATCAACAACAATTCAAAACTCAAAATGCACCAAGAGTCTACAAGCATTTCTCTCCAAAATCAAAATCATATTCTCTTATTCTATCGCTCATAAGTAGCCCAAACAATGAAAAATAACCTTTCGAAACTCTTAGGCCTCGGCAATATTTGCACAAGTAGCACTCTTAGTATCCACCATCACAAGGCCCCCCGCAGTATTAATCGCCCTCAGGTAACAGGTACTCTCATCCCTGTACTTGTACTGCGACCTCGTCGTCCCGCTCCCCCACACCGGAGTCCCCTCGTGCATCAAAGCCGACCCCTCTGCATCCTGTCGATCTGTCAACTGGCTCGTCGTCATCGCCTGACCCTCGCTTAAGTTCACAATCTCCTCCAACTGATGAAACAGTCTCGACTTCTGAAACACTGCTCCCCCGGCCGCGGTCATGCTCGTCGTCTGCACCTGCAGCGGCGCCTCCATCAGCAGCTGCACTCGTGCTAGAGTCTGGTGGGACTTCACCACCTCAACCTGTGACCGGCCCTTGTTGTTGAGCTCGATTCGCTTGATCTCGCCGCGGTTCTGTACTTCCACCTGGCTTTTGAATTTGAGTTTTTGACGGGAGATGGTTGTGAGATTGCCTTTGGAGGAGCTGACCCACCCTATGAATCGGGAGAGGCCTTCAGCGTTGATCTCCGACTGGCCGTCAGCGCTGCGCCATTCGGCGTTGCGGTTAAATTTGCATTGGGGGCGGAGTACTGGATGAGGGCCGGCCTGGCAGGAGTCGGACCAGAGGGCGTCGAGCAAACGTGGAGGTTGGCAGAGACGAGCAGAAGGCGAGGGCATCGTGGACGCCAAGGATAGGAGTGGGCAGGAGCCGTCGAGGCAGGAGGAGAGGAAGGCGGGCACAGTCGATGTCGTAGGTGGGCATGTCGAAGGCTCCGAGGAGGAGACAGGGGACCAGAAGAAGGGTTGACGGAGTTGGGTAGATTACGGCGAAGGGATGTGGCGCCCAATGTATTGCCATCGATGCGCGTGGAGTTGGCGGAAGCCCCCGTTGGCTCTTGCGCGGAGGAGAGGTTGTGGTGGTTGCTTTGGAGGTAGGTGGCCCGGAGGGGGTTCATGTACCAGTTCTCATCTTCGCCATGGTAAGATACAAAAATCTCAAGCACGGCTCTATACGAGTTCATCGGAATCTTCACCTCCGAGGACACCAAGTGACTATCATTCATCACCTTAAACCAGAAACTACACCCAAAATAGCCATTCCTATNCGATACAACCCCTTGATCGTCGGATGTGCCGTGACCCCGACCTTCTTCTTCCCCTCCAACATCCCTCCTCTGTAAAAATGCAACGTGACGTTC